AGAGCGGAAGAAGATATGCAAATTCTTTCAGAACTTTGGCATAGTCTAGATGAGCCCTGTGAGTGGATGTCACCCCAACTTCCAAAACAGCCAGTCTCAGTTTTTAACATTAATTTTTCAATTAAGCTTTTTGTTGAAAAAGTTGAATTAAAAATGTGATGAACATTACTATTTTTCTTCTGTGTATTCTGTGCCTAAGGATGGCCCTGTGGGGGAACTGGGACTTAACATAAAGCTGACCCCTGCAACAGAAGCAAGCCTTCCAAGAAGAAGGCAGGTTGATGTGGGAAGCAGCACTGGGAAGAAGCAAGTGGTCTAGTGCAAGACAGATCTCTACTGCTTACCTCAAGGGTCCATTGGACCTGGATGGTCAGTCTACATGACTACAAAGAGAAAAATCAGTGCCATGCTGCACCAGCCACAAAGTGGTGCATCAGCCGCTGAGTCCCTTAGGGTGCATCTACACAGCACCATAACTCGAAATAAAATATGCAATTTGAGCTATGCAAATAGCATATTTTATTTCGATGCTATTTCAAAATAGCTTATTTCGCCATTTGGCGCTGTCTACACAGTGCCAAATTTCAAAATAAAGTGCTATTCCGAAACGTCCCTTACTCCTCATAGAATGAGGTTTACAAAGATGTTGGAATAGCGAGTCCAAAATAATGGGCTTGCTGTGAAGACACGGGATAGCTATTTCGGATTACTCCAGTATCCCAAAATAGCATTGCAATGTAGACATATCCTGAGAAAGGTTCAAAGGTAGTAGAGTGTATGATCTGGATAAATCTAAAAAGTGGAATGTAAAAGGGTAGGGGACCTAATCATTGGTGAGGCCTAAAAGAGAAGAAAGAGCATTTCTAAATCCTTTACTACTCTAGCTGAGAGACACTGATGACTTTCTAAAAGACAGAATACTCTGTGTCCATAGGCAATACTTTCAGCTGTTGTCAGCATTTTCATGCTATAGTATCAAGGGGGGGGGGGGAAAAAATAAAGGGCTAAATAAAATTGCTTCACCTTTACCCCTTTAAAAAATTAGGAAGTTTATTATGCAGCGGCCCTTCTTTTTAGGAAAATGTTTTAGACCTCATTAATAGACCTGTCACACTGTTAATGCAACTAGCTAGACTCTGAAGCAGACACATTCACTTACGTATCTGAAACTATGCCCTCTGCTATTTCACAGACATGTACAAACAGGAGGGTGAATGTCAGAATCCACCGTAGATTGTGTCCAGGAAAATGCAGCCATGTGTTGTGATGAATCTGGACTTTTGAGCTTTGGCTTCCCCAGCCTGTAAAATCAAATCAAAATAATTTTTAAAAGATCATACAGTGAATCTTCACTAGACCTGCTAAATCGACCCCCAAGGTAATTTATCTCCACAGTACTGATTTCCCGGTAAGTGTAGACCAGGCCATACTGAATTTACAAATATTAGCAATCAACATATAAAATAAATCAATTCACCTTCCTCTCCTTTAAAATACAGTAAACTTCCAATAATCTGGCACCTTTAGGACCCAGGGGGTGCCGGATTATCAGATATGCCGGACTATCGGAAGGGGGGGCTATGAGGGGTCTGGGGTGTGGTGTGGGGAGGGGAGGGGCAGCGCTGCAGGACCAACCCGGCAGCACCCCAACTGCTCTGCCCCAGGCGTCCCCAAGTCAGCCGCTGCTGAAACTGACCAGCGGCTGACTTGGAGAAGCCCAGGACAGAGCAGCTGGGGTGCTGCTGAGTTGGTCCCATATCGCCGCCCCTCGGTGTTGCGGGACCAACTCCAGTTGCTCTGCCCCACAGACTTCCCCAAGTCAGCTGCTGCTGAAACTGATCAGCGGCTGACTCAGGGAAGCCTGGGGCAGAACAGCTCCAATTGTCCGGCTGCCTGGAGCACTTCTGGGTTCCAGGTGGTGCCGGACTACCAGGAGTGCCGGACCACTGGATGCTGGACAACTGGAGTTTTACTGTACTTGCCTCAAATATCTCCAACTTGAGTACTTCTAAGCTTAGTCCCCTAAAGCTTTTCTAGCTGGACCATGTTTTCTTTACTTTCACTGCCATCTGCGCAAGCTCCTGAAATTTTCCTCTTCTAAGCTGGCTTTCTCCATGCCCTGCCTCTTTTCTTTTTCCCTCCCAATCATCTTTCCATGTGTGTTAATTATACATTCATATTTCCTTGCCAGCCGTATAAATCACATGGCTCATCTTTCATTTGCTTTTTGTGTTCACAAAATTAAAATATTCAGAAATATTTCCTATACACAAGAACTTTTGCCTGTGGCAATTGTCATTTCTTTGTTTACTTCTAAGGATGGATTTTGTTGAAGGAGTTACACGTAACTTTTTAATAATGGAAGAAACAAAACATTAAAAATCATACACTCTCTGCTAGCAAAAATTCCATTGAAGTAAATGGGCACTTTGCATGCTTAAAGAGCAGAGATTTGGATGTATAGTTTGTTATAATCCCACGTTCTCAACCTGAAACTTGTGTTTCACCTCTGCTCTTTTTCCAGAGAGAAGCTGTGTCTTGGAACTGCCTGAAATAATGTCAATATCTTAAAGCAGCTTCTTTCATCTAGAAAGATCCCAGGTTTTACAAACTTAAACTGCAATGAAATACTGTTTCATCTAACATATTCACTTCTCTTTGTGTTCTGTGTCTGCACCTACCACACAAGGGCTCTAGTCCAACTGTAGCCAACCTGAACCTGAGAAGGAGCCACAGTTTACCAATGTACATTGCCAAAGAGAGACAGTAATTTGTCAGCAGTCCCCATCAGGAGCCTCCTCTCCCATCTCCAGTATCTTTTGCCTACAAGCAGCCTCACCAATCAAAGCATCCTCTTCCTTCCCCGTGCCTCTTGCCCACTGCAATCAGCTGTTTCACGGCACTCAGAAGGCTCTGTGGGGGAGGGAAGGAGCGAGGGCACAATACGTTTGGAGGAGGAGGTGGAGCCAGGAGCTGAGCACTGGAAAGTCGGCACCTGTAGCTGCAGCCCCGGAGTCAATGCCTGAGCAAGAATCCGCTTCAGAAGAGCAATAGGTGGCTCCAGAGCCAAAGGTTGGCCACCCCGGCTCTAGTCCATGATTAGTACTCTTAGGGCACATCTACACAGCAGGGCAAAAGTCAAATTAAGATATTCAACTTCAGCTATGTCAATTGCGTAGATTAAGTTGAAATGGCTTAATTTGGCTTTTGGCGCTGTCTACATAGCAGGAAGTCGAAGAATGAACACTCTTCCTTCGACTTTCCTTACTCCTCGTGAAATGAGGGTTACAGGAATCAGAGTAAGACATTTCAAAATAATGGCTCGTTGTGTAGACGCACACTTGTTATTTCAAAATAATGTCAGTTATTCCGAAATAACGCTGATGTGTAGAAGTTCCCTTAGGCACTACAGTAATAATTCTTGAAGAAGGCCCCAATTCAGGAAAGCAACCCTGTTTGAGACTCAATTAAGCTTGTTGTTAGATGTAAACATTTATGTCAACGGGCCTTAAGCAAACATTTGAAGTTAAGTCTGTTCTTCTGTGCAGACTAAGAATATGTTTAAGTGCTTTCTTGAACTGGGGTCTGTCATGAGATGTGCTCCCCACACAGACTCTGAAGGGGTTAATGTGGGCTGGACAGACCAGTTATGGTATCTGGCTACACCTGGAGGGACAGCCAAGCTTCACTGAACTTGAAGCCCTGCAGGGCAGGAGCAAGCTGGTTAGCATAAAACCAGGAAGTTAAGAGCAGAAGGAGGCTGCAAGGAGAGAGAGGCTGCCACCTCTGAGAGCAGAGAGCTGGTGAGGAGAAAACCCAAGAGGAAGAAAAACCCTGGGATACTAAACCAGAAATAAGGGCCAAACCCAGAGGAACTGGGAGTAAAGAAAGCTTGAGGGGGCTCAATAGGTAAAAGCCAAAGGGAAATAGCTGTTAGGAGGAGCACTGGGCAGACATTGGCTGTTCATTCTAGGGTCCCTGGCATGGAACTGAGTAGAGAAGGTGGCCTGGATTCCCTACCAGCCACTAGGAAGTGGCAAAGAATTGTTGGAGATATCAACCAGGCAGTGGATCCAGATAGACTTTATTACTCCAGAAGGGGAGAACTATATAGTGACCTGGCCAGAGAACCATGTCACAAACAGAGAGCATCCTGAATCATGAAGAAAGTGTTGGGGGTATCACAGCATGAGTAACTGGTAGAAGGGGTACCAGATCAAGCAAAAATTGATCTTAACAGGTAGCCAAAAGGCGTCTCCGCCAGCAGAGGTACAGAAACTCGTGACAGGGCCTAACAGAGCACAACACTGCAGGCTTCTTGCGCAAGAATGGCTGTTCTTGCACAAAAACTTGCAGGGCGTCCACACTACAAGCCCATTCTTAAGCAAGAAAATTTATAGTAGATCATCAGAATAGAGGTCTTTGTGAACAAGAGTTATTCCTCTCCCCACAAGGAATAAGCCTTTTTGAGCAAGAGCTCTTGAGCAAAAAGGCTAGTGTGGTCAGGAACAGGGGTTTCTTGCACAAGAAAACCCTATGGCTAAAATGGCTATCAGAGCTTTCTTGCACAAGAGAGCGTCCACACTGTCATGGACACTCTTGTGCAAAAGCACATCTCTTGTGAAAAAGCATCTCTTGTGTGGATGCGCTCTTGCACAAGAACTCTTGCCCAAAAAGTTCTGGCACAAGAAGCCAGCAGTAGATGTAGCCTAGGATAAGAACTGAAGACAGAATGTAATTCTGAACTGGAATTTGGCCAGGATATCACAGTTAAAAACCTTCCTTTACAAACCATGTAATGTAATGTTTAGTGAATAAATTTTGGTTAAAATCTTGCTTTTTACATCTCATAACTTCAATGTTAAATCCATCATCATGTTCCCTATAACACCAAACTGGAGCATTGACTCAATACTGACTCAAAAAGAAAAGCATCATTCACTGATACACCAATGTAATTTTCTTCTATACCAAAACATTTTTTTAAATCTTCTCTATCTCCTGATCTGGTCTGTCCCACCTTAACTTGTGATAGGATCACAACACAATTTTGTATTCTTCAGATATCACAATATATGAAAACCAATCAAACTGCTGTTCTTCATAGTAACGGAAAATAAAACAAAAAACTGCAGCTTATGCAGTCATGCCATTTGATGGAATGCAGTCAGTGGGTATTGAAAATATTTAATTACCACAATGTTAATAGTCACCGATAGTAAGGATGGAAAGGTCAATTATAATCATCTAGTCAATCCTCCTGCATGATACAGGATGTTAAAATTCATCCAGTATTTCCTGCAACATGCCCAATAATTTGTGGTTAAACAAAAGCACATCTTTTGAAAAGACTTCCATTCCTGACTTAAAGATTTAAAATGATGGCGAAAGAAGATGAAGAACCAGATCTGCCATTTCCCATGAATTTGGCAGGAGATACAGTCAGTTTAAATTAATTTTTGGCAGTTCTGAAGTCTCTCAATCTTAGATGAAGGATTCTGCAATGCATTTTCTTCATCATTATTTGACAACCTTCTAAAACTTTTTGTTTCAATCTCACTTGCCTCATTAATGATAATCAGTGGTGTAAAGACACAGCTATAAAATCTAATGGGATACAGCTCATCAAGCTATTAATGACTCTGTGTACAAGAAGAGCATGTAAATGAGGACCACAGCATTATGGAAATTGTTCTAGGGATCGATTTACCATCTCTTATTCATGTGTACAAATGTTGGCTTGAGAATGAATTACCTTTTCTGCAGTGCTTCAAATATTTATCGTAGATACAGACCCAAGACGTAAATTTTGAAATCGTTCCAAACTCCACCAAAGTTCAAGCATAGATCTCCTGTCCTGACTTTTATCTTCTAAAAATAGAAATAGACTCAAGATGCCAAGTTCAAACCTGGAGACAAACTCTTCCAAAGTTTGAGAGAATTTGGATTTGAATTTTCTAGTTAGATTTCATCTATTAAAGGTGGCCCATCCTGTAAATTTCAGACCTTATACCTAAAATTCCCATCAATGAAAGAGGGTTGACATTACTTCTTTTGGTTCAGGCCCATCTCTGCATTAATCTCTCTTTCACATACCTTCTCTTGACTGGATCTCCTTTCCATCTCTTCCTCATGATGCTTATAGTAATGCGAAATGTCTAAACTGAATGCACCAGTCCTATAAAATAATTCAGCCCCACTTCTGCAAACATGTCTGAGTGCTTGACTTGAAGCTTATGCATGATTGCTTTCAGGATTAGGAGCCTGTGGCTGATTACTCACCAATAAACAAAATTGGAAAGGTGATAAATAGCAGGAAGACATGGGGAACCAGGTTGAGGGCATCCACAAAGCAGACATTTTTTAGGACGCCAGCACTGACGTTATAGGCAGAAGTGTTGTCATTACCACAAAATGCGACTTTCATTGCTTCAATCTAGAGAGAAAACACAAGAGAAACACAAATTGTAAAACAGCCCAAGATAGCACCACCATTTCTTTTAGCTAAACACAAAATCAAAAGAGAAGCATTTAGGCTCATGAGCAGACTAAATAATTCAAAGAACATAATTTATCAGACAACAGTAAACTTGATCCCTCAAATTCCTATCCAAATGCTGAAAGTCAACCTAAAGTGTGGATAAAGTGGGGTCATATTTATTATTAAAAAATATCCACTGAATACATACAGCAAATAAATGTGAGTCTCCATCTCATTCATAGACAGCTCTTTGCACACATTCAATATTCAAAATAGAACATGCAGATGGTCAGGAAATCAAAACATATTTTAAAAAGTTGTTTTAAAAACATATTTTAAAAAGTTGTTATTTTAAAAAGTTGAATTTTCATCAAAAATTTCAATGCGTGTAAATTACTGGTTCTCAAACTTTTCTATGGATAATCCCTTTCACATTGCAAGTCTCTGAGTATGACCCCCCTTATAAATTCATTTTGTATATATTTAACACTATTATAAATTCTGGCGGTGAAGCAGGGTATGGGGAGAGTGGAGACTGACAACTCGTAAACCCCCACATAACCCCCACAACTCCTAACCCCCACATACTTGTGACTCCTTGAGGGGTCTCCAGGCCTCCCAATGGGGAGGGGAGGGCAGAGGAGGCAGTTGCCCCAAGGCTTGGCAATTGAAAGGGGTCCGGAGCTTCTGGCCACTGATGTTACTTCTATGGTGTTAGCAGTGGCTGGAGCCCCAGACCCCTTTGACTTGCCACCGGAGCATCACATCACGTGGCTTGAAGGGGGGCATGCTGTGGTCTCGACAGTGCTAAGGGCTGGCTGTCCTGTCGCCACCCCTTCTGCCCTTGGTCCTGCTCCTTCCGGGCCCATGGTGACTACTGCCTCACTGGGGGTCTCAACCTTAGTTTGAGAACCCCTGGCCTAAAGTGAAGCACACATTGGTTGGACTGGACCTATGGAGTCTCAGAAAGATCACACTGTGTCTTCTGAAGTCTCCCTTCGTGTGATTTGTTGTTCCATAGTTAGAATGAGGGCCCTGTACCTTTGAATTCTGGGATTCTCAGGTTCTTAATAAGTAGTATCATTTGTAACAGAATCAAGCGGGATTGAAAATGAAATGCTTCCTTACAGATTTCTTTCCCTCCAACATATGCACTCTAATTAGTTATTGTAGGATTATTCATGAATGCTAGGTTGCTAACATTGTTAATTCTTTTAATTTTTTAAATTAAAGACATTGGGGGAAATTGCCCACTAACTCCCCGATTCAGCAAAACATATTTGCTTGAACATAAATGCATCAGTATTTAGCAAAGCACATGCGCAAGTCATTTTACTGAATTGGGGAAATCACTCAGACTTCACGAAATGTAAGTCAAAACAAAGTTCCTTGAGTTTGGCGGCTTAACAATGGCCAAATCCGGCATGCCTTACTCAGACAAGTAGGCATTGTGTAAATAATATAAACGAGGGCTGTTGGCTTCAGATGGAAGTATTTGCATGAATAATGCAAATGTGATTTGGCTCAAGAATCTCCTTTGAATGAACACAAACATCGCATTTCTAAAAAGTGTACATGCAAGTGTAAAGGGACACTGTGAACCTCAGTGAGACCCGTAGTTTAGTTCCTTTAATAAAATCAAAGAAGGAGCTAGAAGGGTTTGCAAAACTTAATTTGAATAGAAATGCCTTCATTAAACTTCTGAGAGTTCTTCTGAAAAGTGTTTGATAAAGGTAATGACATTGCAAATACAACAGCAATGTGCGGTTTGGTGAAAACCAGCAATAGAATGACTATGAGTCACATTAAGGCCCAGATCCTGCCAACTCAAATGCACAGGCTTAACTTAGTGCACATGAGTAATCTTTCTGAAAGCAATGAAACTACTCACAATGTTAAAGGTAAGTAGGTGCCTAAATGTTTGCAGACTCAAGGCCTAAATGCTGACTTGTACCTATGTGATCTTCAATAAGATTTCATGGAAGAATTTGGCCCATCACTTATATTCAACCGTGTAAAATGACCAATATAATTTTTCTGACATCAAGTGAATACAATACTCAAACTGCATACAGTTAACAATGAAAACCAAATATGATGTTAAAAGTATGCTCTGTTTCAATAATCTACTGAGCTATGAGTAGCAGACGTGGGATTTTGTTTAAACTTGTGGAGATTGCTTGGACATGTTTCCCTTTAAGAAAAACATAATAGTAATCTGCAGAAAATCTTAAGTGGTATTGCGTAATCTTTATGGAGGGTCAGAAGTTCCATGGGAGTTCTTCTGGGAATTTCTTCCCTTTCCCACAAGCAGCCTGACTACGTTCTCACACAGCCAAGGAGGCTGGTACTTAGATTGAGACTAAAACACAGGAGGACCCTGGATTCTAATGCTCATTGAAACACTCTGGTTCTGGCCTCTAATTAGTCAGTTTGAAAAGTAAGTAAAGGGATCGTGACGTGAGAAACCATGTCTCAGAAATCAAATGGGGAGGAGATGTTTGGATTTTTTCCTTCATTGGGAGAGAAATGGACCATTTGGACTAAAAGTTTCCGTGAGAGAGTAGAATGTTAACTGTGTGAAGTGCGAGTACCCTCAGATAGTCAGTATCTATCTACCAATAGTTTCGAAGAGCACTTTCGAAAAAAGGCGTTCTTCCTCGTGAAATTAGGTTTACCGCCGTCGAAAGACAAGCCGCATTCTTTCGATTTAATTTTGAAAGAACGCGGCTGTAGTCTAGACGCAAGTGAAGTTTTTTCGAAAAAACCCTTGAGTCTGGACAGAGCCTCAGTATTTGCATTTTGCTTTCTCTTTGAAGGCTTACGTATGGTGTAATTGTAGTGGTCAAAAGTCCCACATTTGTTCTTAAAATGGAAGCATGGGGGATCATAGGCAGGGGAAGAGAATGCTTTCCCACTCTGCCTCACCTGGTCCCTCCCATGTTCCACCTCAGTCCCCTAGGCCTCTCCCTCAGCCTGCTGTTGCAGAGTCAGAGACTGGGACAAGCACGCTGGGGGTTGTGCCATGCCGCCTGTCCTCCTGGAACTGGGGCCGGTGGCTCCATTGTTGCGGGGGTGGGGGGACTTCCTGGTACAGCCTGCAGACATGGCCCAAGGAAGCTGGGGCCATACCTCCTGGCTCTCCTCTCCAGCAGTCTAAGGCCAAGACAGGCTGCAGCTGTACTGCCCCCCAGCTCTCCAGAACTGCAGGGGAGACTGCCCCCTGGCAGGCCCAGCCAAAGTGTTCGACAGGCCCAAAGCGGTTGGCTGCACCACATGGATGAGCGGCTCCCAGCCACGGCAGCAAGTAAGCAGCCAGGTGGGTGGGCGCCAGGCAGCGTGGGACTCTGAAGGCTCGGGGCTCAAGCACCTTGCTCACCTTGTACTAAAGCCAGGCCTGCCTGCTGGCTTTCCAAATCTCCAGGATCAGCCAGGATAGGCTGTGGCTGCGCTGCCCACTGGCTCCAAGCTGGACTACAGACTCTGGAAAGAAGCTGAGAGAAGAGAAGTAACTACAGGGAGCAGAGGAAGCTCCAGTGGTGCACCCAAAGGTAGGCCAGGAGATACAGAAGTGAAGTCAGAGCCCCAGGTAATATCACCAGAGTGAAAGCTTGAACAGACTGTTGCTGAACTGAAACCTGGAGTAATCGGTGGTGTCAGGTTCCCCTACCAGCTAGTCAGAAAGTGGCACTAGCTTGGAAGTAGATCAGAAGGCTTGCTAGCACTACAGATAGTGACCTGACAGGAGAGCAGAGTGGCAAAGAGGCAGCCTCCTGAGTCCAGACAGAGACCATGTTAAATCTCATTGCAGGAGGAATAACAGGTAGTTCAAACTAGGGCTTTATTTTGAACGCCCGTTTCACTGCCGCGTGTAGACGTGGGCAGTTATTCCAGGCTTGTAAATTTCAAAAAATGGTGCCCGGCTGGGAAGATGCAAATCAAGCGCGGGATATTTAAATCCCGGGCTTGATTTGCAATTCCGAATGCCTACATTTGCAGCCTTATTCCGAAATAGGCTGCAAGTGTAGACATACCCTGAGTCTCCTTATGGAGTTTTCTGGACTCCCTATCTCCATGCTATGTTTTACCCAAGGAAGGAAGAATATGGCCCCTTGCCTCTCACTATGCGTCCTTATTGTTCGTATTTCTGACAGCAAGCCAAATCACACCAATCATCTTTGCAAGTTGGTTCTGTTTTTTGTCCCTGTCTTAGTCAAGGGCTCAGACTGAAGCAATCAACTATTTGTTGAATACTTTAAAAGACAACAGGAAATGAGGTTGGAGGGATGGAGGATGGAGGTTGACAGCATGAAAACAGTGAGCCCAAACTGGTTTCAGGCACAGTATGCTTTTGGCTCTCCTTTCACTCATTCTGAAATCAGAGGGCTTACTGGTTTACTTTGATGAAAGTTAGCTGGAAGGCAGAGAGACCATGCAATGTCTAAAAATAAACCTTCAATCTAAACATTTGAGAATTAGTTGTAAAAGTCCTACTAGCTGGCAAGAGGGGCCTCTGCTTTTGGATGGAGGAACAAAACTTGAGAGTATTGTAGTTAACAGAAATTCCTACAAATGTGATTCAGAATTAAGTGGTTGACATAGATGAGAAGAAGATTGACGGGGAAGAAAAGTCAGTTCATTACAAAGACATACTAATGAACATGTCACTCTTATCCTAAACGTTGTAACGTACCAAGGAATAAATTTTGTGACTCTGAAAACAGGCTCCATTGAAGAATCATTGAATATTGATTCTCAAGACCTACCATAGGCTCAGTAACCACCCTGGCACCTCTTTATGTCTTCATCTCGGGATTAGTTCTCTCCCAGTCCAGTGCCTTCTTTTATGGTTGCTCACCCCATCATCTCAGTCTGGATTCAGGGGAGAGGACTCGTTGTGACTCTGTCCCTCAGACAATTAGATACCCTTTTCATAAGGTATTGTGAAGGTGACATTGAAGAAATGGTGGTTAATATTTAAATCTCCACACATCAAACCAAGATGAGTGCAAATGTCCTGGGAGTTCTAAATGGACATCACTTTATACAATATTTTATTGAATCTAAAACTTTTTAAAGGGGGGCACTTCTTTTAAAGTGGCACATAAATGTTGAATATAGTTCTCCATACTCACAAGTCTTACTTTAACTGGATCTGTTCTTTTTAAACTGCAAGGCACTTGCAAACTGGTTATTTTACTAATAAAAGAAAGTTCTTCTTCACACAGCGTGTAGTCAACCTGTGGAACTCCTTGCCAGAGGAGGCTGTGAAGGCTAGGACTATAATAGAGTTTAAAGAGAAGCTAGATAATTTCATGGAGGTTAGGTCCATAAAAGGCTATTAGCCAGGGGATAAAATGGTATCTTTGGCCTCTGTCTGTCAGAGGCTGTAGAGGGATGGCAGGAGACAAATCGCTTGATCATTGTCTTCGGTCCACCCTCTCTGGGGCACCTGGTGCTGGCCACTGTCGGTAGACAGGATACTGGGCTAGATGGACCTTTGGTCTGACCCAGTACGGCTGTTCTTATGTTCTTATGTTCTTGTAACTATTAAGAAAAGGGTGTAAAATGTGGGTCTAAAGTGCTCCTTGTCCCTTGGAGCATGAATCCTTTGAACTTCTATGTCAAAGGCTACGTCTACACTGCAGGCTTTTGCCGGCAGAGAGTATGCTAATGAAGCACTTATTAGCATTTGTCACGCTGTCATTTGCATATTCTCTGCCTGAGGCTTTCTGTGCATGAAGTTTTGCGCAAAAGCAAACAGTGTAGATGGGTCTGTTTTGTGCAAAAAATCCCTTTTGTACAAGATCTGTATACCTCCTTTTTTGAGGCATAAGGATCTTGCACAAAAGGTTTTTTTTGCGCAAAACGGCCCCATCTACGCTGCTTGTTTTTGTGCAAAAACCTCTTGCGCAAAAAGCTTCGAGCAAAGAATATGCAAGTGACAGAAAAACAAATACTAATGAGACATAGCCAAAATGTATATTTCTTTTGATCTTTAACAAAATAGCCAATATGTTTTCATGCCAGGATCAAAACATAAGGGCAAATATTGTGCCCATCTATAAAAAGGGGAATAAGAACAACCCAGGAAACTACAGACCCGTCAGTTTAACGTCTGTCCCAGGGAAGATAATGGAGCAGGTAATTAAGGAAATCCTATGCAAACACTTGGAAGGTAATAAAGTGATAGGGAATAGCCAGCATGGGTTTGTGAAGAACAAGTCATGCCAAACTAATCTGATAGCTTTCTTTGATAAGATAACGAGCCTTGTGGATAAGGGAGAAGCGGTGGATGTCATATACCTAGACTTTAGTAAGGCATTTGATACGGTCTCGCATGATATTCTTATTGATAAACTAGGCAAATATAACTTAGATAGGGCCACAATAAGATGGGTGCATAATTGGCTGGATAACCATAGTCAGAGAGTTGTTGTTAACCTCTAAAAATTTGAAATGTAGGTCAGACCCCTTTGGAAATCTTAGATGTACTCTGTGGACCCCCATGTTGTCCACAGATCACAGTTGAAAAATCACTGTTCTATGGCAACAATGACCTTTTACAGACCCTCATGGACATAGTCTGTGGACGACATGGGTCCACAGGCCTGAAATTGAAAAACACTGGCCTGCACCATTAATGACCCAAGGGAGCCTTATTCTTGAACCTCATTGAAATTTCTTTACATAGTTAAAGAATCTATACTATAAATATTACTGCATCAGAAATAATTTCTGGTAAGTCTTTAAAGTCATTGAGCCAAATTGACTTTAGATACTTGCACACAGCACACTGAATTCAGTGAGAGTTGTACTTGTTAATGTGAAAGCAGGATTTGGACTTTCCTCTTGCGGTATCTATGAGACAATGTATGTGTGCCTGTATCTATAGTGTAGACGCTAAATTCCTTGTATCTTTGTAAAGTAGCCACACTATAAAGCCCTGTATAGACAAAGTGAAAACTGTAGTAGGATACTATGAAGCAACTCCATGGAATATTTGCAATTTCGTAAAAGAAAGGATTTAATGTTCTCCCTTCATTGCTGTACTTTGTAAATTAAATAATCTGGTAATATAAAAATGTATATAGGTACTAGTTCTAGTTATATCTGAGACTAAAAAGCCATTGAAAGTTGTGTTGTGAATGTAATACTATAACCATTTTGAAAGTCTCAGAGAGGTAGCCATGTTAATCTGTAACTAACAAAATTTTAAAAACAACAATGGTCCTGTAGCACCTTAGAGATCCACATGGGTGGATCCTTACAGCTGCTCACAACCCAGCTAAAGTGAAATGTGGGTTCTTCTGCCCACAGATAATATGGCAGGGCTAAGCTGTTAGTGGACTGAGGGCAGATCTACACTGAACCTGGAAGGAAGGCTTAAGGTACACAAGGAATTAATTGCTTTTTTCAGTTTGTTTTAACCTGTTTTCTTCCTTGCATGTGATGTACATTTTCTTTTTTTTTATTATGCATGCCAGATGAGTAGATTAAACAGGCAGATGTTTATGAAAGTAACTCAATATTTGATTCTGCTAGCGAGCTGATTCATTATAAAAAGGGAGAACTTAGATTGTATTTATGAGCTTTCTCAATATGAAGGTGATGGAATAGCAGAAGAAAAGTCTACAGTGATTTCTAACAAAGAAAAGCAAATCTTTAAATCAATTGGTTTTCATGGGTGTAATTGTCAACCTGATCTTGAGTTTTCCCATTGATTTCAGTGTGCATAGGATCAATGTGCAGAGAGCTCAATATTTCACAAAATCCTTTTCCTTTCCTAACATAAACTTTGTTTTGTTTGAAATACTTTCCCCCCAATGCTGCCTAACTCTGCGTAACATAATCTGAGCTATTCAGAATTTCCGTTGTCTGTTATCAGTTCTGCTGAGACTACAAGTAAAGTTCTTATCGTTTATTTATTTTACCAAAAATTATCCAATATATTATATTTTTCTAATTATTATTTCAACCAGGTGCAATTAATTTAAATATATTTGCTAGCTAGATATCGACTATCTAGATGCTGTTGGGCCCTGATGTGATAAATTAATTACTCTACCTACTTTACTGTTTTCAAAGCACTTAGCAATTTATACCAAGAGCCTGATTCAAAGTAAATGGAAAGATTCAAGGGGTTTTGGATCAGGCCCCACATGCACAGAAAATACATTTATTAATATATTAATGAATGTACAGGAAAATATAGGATTATAGCTGAAACTGAGTTAAACATAAAACTGTCAAAGTATTAATATTTGCAGCTGTTTCTCAGATAGAATTGTCTTGACTCCTGCTTTCTTCTTTTTTTAGAAGCTTCTTAATAAACAACTTGTCTCAAATGCTAGCACGGTATGCCGTCTGCTGTGAAACAAGTTGACATTTAGACTTCAGACACTAGGATGGGACAATTGTAAAACTCATTTAAAAAGAATCATAACCCTATGAAAAATAAAGAAACATCAGCAGCTGGGAACATTTAAGTCCAAGTATATTGGTTTGAGAAGGAAAAGTTAAACAGATTTGCTCTGTAATCCTAAAGAAAACGCAAGAGTCTTTCTCCACAGACATTAGGGGAAGAAAGAGGTTAGTGGGAGAAAATAGTGGGGGATGTTGCTGCATGCCCATTTTCTTTGCTGAATGTTAGATCACACGCTGTCACTTACCTTTATATATACACTAACAAACATCAAACCCAGTTTTTCGTTGGTTGTGCTATGTGATCAATATCATTCCGATGGCAGGATTCTCCTCCACTTTGTGAAGCAGCTCCAAACCCTAGAGTGGATTATTTTTAGGCTGGTGATGGGAAGATCAGCTGCTGCCTCCTATCGAGTTTCCAAAGTGAGCAAACTTTTTCTCATCTTTCTCACACACTCCAGAGGGCAGGAAACTGAGAAGAGACAAGCAAGCAAAAGACACCAATTTTAGACCCCGTAAGCTCCAATCCCAGGAGCTTAAAAAAAAACAATCTTGAAGTGTTTTTATTTTCATTTTCCAGGGCTAAAGTGCTAAGATACAAAGGGGTTGCAAGGTACTGCACAGATGATCATCAGGTGATTATTCTAAAATAATCAATATACCCCTAGATGGCCAAATGTCAAAAGGGCATGCGTGATGCAGCTTTGGAAAACAGTATTAGGCAATATGATTAAATGTAATCTTTTCTTAGTAAAGAATATAGCTCCGCATGTGAGACTACAATTTAGAACATCATCATAAAGATATGGGAAAAACTGGATCTACTCGGATACTACCACATTTTGGTTTAGAGCTCCCAAGTAAGATTATTAAAATACAGAGTAAATCTAGTCCCTCTATAAAAAATGGGTAGAATTTTTAGATTTGGGACAAAAAAAGAAAAACTACCTGTACAAGTACCAGGAATAGGTTTTTGTGGTGCAGCTGTGCCCATTTACTACAGTATCTGGATTATTTTGTACCAGGAATATTTGTTTTCTATTTAGACAATAAAATGAGAATATAGATGTTTAAAATAGCAGTATCCAGCTACCAGATATGTATTTTTCCCCCAATGTTATCAAGTGGGATGCATCAGGGTTCAGACTTTTTCATCAAAGCAAAAGCAACTACCTTTATTTTCTATTTAGACTGTAGTGTTTGGAGCCAAATTTTAGAAAGAGCCACCTGAATCTTGATGCAAGATCCAGGATCTTGCAGTGCTGCCAGCATTCATTATGGTCGGAGATATTTTGGTGCAATAGGTGTGGTTACACTTGTTCTCAACTTAGATGGAAAACATTTTCAATTTAGATGGGACGCGTCAATTTTACCAAAATTTGCAACATGAAAAAACTTTGAAAAAAGTTCCAAAATGGTCAAAATATTTTGATTTGGCATTTTTAAATTTTAAAAAATTACAGCTTTCTAATATGAAATGGTTTGTTTTGAAATGTAAACTCATTATTAGGGGGGAATTTTTTAACAGTCAGGATGGCAAAGAAACATTTCCAATTTGTTGAAACGAAATATTTTGCTTGACCCGACCCACATTCTGTTCCTAATTTTTTTTTCCAGGTGTGAAAATTTCCAACATTTAACTTTTTGTCCCGGTTTGGGATGGGAAAATATTTTGCTATCTCAAAGTGTTGTGGGATGGGAAAGCCATTTCCTGTCCAGCTCTGGTAAATTGTTCTGCTCTGAGGCACTGTCCAAGCCTGTGCTACTTGTTTTATACTCAGGGATGGGGGGCTGGTTTCAAAGCAGTGCTGGAATTGTTGTCATTTTGTTATCATACACAGCAATCTACAGAAACACGCTCTGGACTTCAATTCAAGGCTCTCCCACCCCCATGCCTGAATGTACCACCGTAATAAGCTCTGTATCAGAACACTCTCCCAGACGGAGGCAGATCATTCAGGCAGGGGGAATGAGCTGAGCTCTTTTCTTATCTGTGGGGCATTTTAAAACACGTGTGTTTCCAATCCTGTCCCACGTGTGGAATTTAGGATGGGGGAGGGAGCTGGGCTCAGAAAACAGTACCACCCAGCCGCCTAGAGGAATGGGCTATTTTTAGGGGCAGGCATGGTAAAACTGCCTTATGTAATACTGTTCTGAAGAAGAAGAAAAAAAAAAGCTGCCATTTTCCCATCTCTTGTGGGCAGATTCCCTGATCTCCAAGCACACCCAATCGGAGTCGCCCCTCTCTGGCCACCCTTTCCCCCAGCGGAAGGGACTTACCCGGAGGTAAGGTGGGAGTGTTGCCAGGCGTCTGGCTCCTGGGGATTAATCTTTGGGAGGCCAGGTATTTACTACTGCAGTCTGCCAGGGAGTCGGTAAGGAGCAGCCCAGGGAGCAGCAGCGGGGAAGAGACAGACCCAGCAAAGCGAGCGGGCTGCTGCTGCTGCGCTGCTGCTGGGGGCAGCGAGGAGCCAAGGGGGCGGGTGAGACGCGCAGACCCCCCTCCCCTTTTAATTGTAATGAGCAATGCTACAGTCCGTTTGTGCCCCAGCCCCGGGCCCCCAGCCAGCTCCCCTCCCTCCTGCAGGGCGACACGGGGCAGCAGTCCGGAGGGCAGCTAAAGGAGCTGCTCCCGGGTTGGAGCGCACAGAGCAGAGCCGTATCGCACTCGCTGTGGCATCCCCCAAAGGGAGTGGAATTTGCCGGGATTCCCCTCACTTCCCCAGCAGTGATCAACACGAGCTAGGACTAACAGTGCACTGTACCCAGGTGTAAGCTCCCACCCTGACTCCAGTTAATGGGCCAAAGTCGGAGCTGGTGAACCAAATGGTGTTCAGTTCATAGAACCATAAATACAAGGACTGGAAGGGACCTCAAGAGGCTATCAAATCCAGTCCCCTGCCTTCACCTCCCTTGCGCCATCTAGACCATCCCTGACAAATGTTCATCTACCCTCCTCTTAAATATCTCCAAGATGGAGAGTCTACAAACTCCCAGGCAATGGATTCCAGTGTTTAACCACCCGGACAGGAAGTTTTTCCTAATGTCCAACTTAAACCTCCCTTGCTGCAAAGTTTTCCACTCCTTACTCACTGACACCGCTTCTCCCAGCTCCAGTCACAAAGGTCACATCTACACAGCAGTGCTAAAGCCAAAATAAGCTACGTAATTTGAACTATGTCAATTACGTAGTTTAAGGTGAAATAGCTTATTTAGATTTTTGGCACTGTCTACACAGCAGGAAGTCCAAGTTAAAGCACTCTTCATCCAATTTCCCTTACTCAATGAGGGTTACAGGAATTGGAATAAGAAACACTCCAGTGAGACATTATTTTGACATTATGTCGAAATAACTCTTGCTGTGTAGACACAGACTATGTTATTTAGAAATAACATCAGTTATTCTGAAATAACGCTGCTGTGTAGACATGGCCACAGAAGAGTGTCTATGCAGATATAAATTATATGCTCAAGTGCTGGAAGGAGATGAAGGTTAAAGTAGGAGGGAAGCTAAAGTAATATACACCACTGTGGACTTCTTTAGATACTGGCAGAAGAGTGGACATAGGTCTAAGTTCTAAAGCCTTTTACTTTTGCCCTGGGAATGAGGACAGCCCAAGTTAATGTCTTTATTCAAGCTCAGGGTAACAGTGTCAAATTTGTAGATGAATTCTAGTTGCCTACCCATGCAACAAATTCCTTTGCCAATTCTGTCCACATATCTATGCAAACAACACCATCACAGGATCTAACCACATAAGCTATAACATAAGGGGCTCATTCAACTGAACATCCTCTAATGTGATATATGCCATCAAGTGTAAGCAATACCCCTCGGCCATGTATATTGACCAAACCCGACTGTCGCTGCGACAAAGGATTAATGAAAACAAATAAGACAGCAGAAAACTGTGTAGTAAACATTTTTCTACAAAGGAATTTCACCACACAATTACAGAGACTGCAGGATGGTAATTCATCTACAAATCTGACACCGTGGGAGTGTCTACACTGCAGTGTTTTTCCGAAAAAACAGCCATTTTTCTGGAAAAACAGTACTTTCATCCACACTGCTTTACAGAAAGTTGAAAGAATGGAGAGGTTTTTCTGATGGCGGTAAACTTCTTTCTATGAGGAAGAAGCCTTTTTCTGAAAAAGCTTTTTCAGAAAAAGGTGTGCGTGGACACGGAAGAGGGAGTTCTTTATAAAGAAGAGGCCTTCAGGAAATAACACAGGTGCCCTGGTGGCCACTCCGTCCATACTAATCACAACTTAAATGTAAGATAGCGTCCAATAAATGTGGATACTATCTTTCAAAAAAGCACACTGCTTTTTCATTGTGCTTTTGCTGCATGGATGCTCTCTTTTGAAATAAGCTTTTCCAGAAGATCTCTTCCAGAAAAACTTATTGCAAAAGAAACTTGCAGTCTAGATGTAGTCTGTTACTCTGGGCTTTCATAAAGACATTAAGTGGTTAAAGCCAATTTTCCCTGCCTTTAACATCTGCATTTTCACATCAAAAGCTATGAATGGGACACCTCCAGACCTCTTAATTAGCTTCTTTAACACGGGTCCTAAAAGTAACAGGTACTTTTTTTGCTGCTATATATATCTTGGATTCTGTTATTTCCACTCCAACTCATCTGAAGAAGTGGGTTTTACCCATGAAAGCCCATGATACTATATATATTTTTGTAAGTTTCTAAGGTGCCACAGAACTATTCATTGTAAACAGCAGTGATATTGAGTAATCATTTTTCAGTATCCAAGACCATAGATATGTAAATAAACAATAAACAAACTATAAATTCTGAAAAATAAATTAGCTCTTTAAATTTATTTTAAAATCTAAGGGTGCTAGGCAAGAACATATTTGATTTTTAGCATGAGAGCTGTTCCTTTAATATTCCAACTTTTTCCAGTTATAAATGTTAGAACAGTTAAAAGTTTTTAAATCACTCATGTCCTCTGAGCATAAGAATGTTTATCCACAATAGAATGCATTACAGTCCTTTTTTTATCCTATTAAATCTAAACTACTCCAAATGCAACTATTGAGTATCTTTTAAAGCATCTGTGTCATTGCTGACATTGCTTTTTTCATCTCTGCTATATTTATATATTATCTTTTAGACTGCTTCGACAATATTCAGAATAGGAACATGTAATCTTAATGTCGTCTTTTTACACTAGTAAGTCCATAGCCCCGTCTAGTCTAATTTAACCTTTTATCTGGAAATATAACCTTTCAGAGACAAAACCAAGCTGAATTTGTTCCAGTTACTGTAAAAAGTAGTTACAAAATCACGAGGAAAATTTTCAAGTTTACCTACATTATTTAGTATCTTAAGTTCTATTTTCAGATTTAGTCTGCTGGACCACATTAGCACTTCTTAAAATTTTATTCTGTATCATTTTGGTTTTTAAAGGCATGAAGATAAAATGAACAACATAAGATAATACTACAAGTGCCCACTGCTGTTACTGAAAAGTCACACAGCCTGTATGACTATGATGAAAAATGGAAACAATTACAAGAATTCAATTGAGATTACGTGTCAGCTTTGCATTAGAACTGGCAGAACACAGCCAAACCTTGTACTCTACAGTTCTCATGACTGTAACTTTACAACTTGTTTAGAATTTCAATAATGTCATATTTTATTACAGAATAAAGTTAAGGAAGGTTGAACCACTAAAACTTAAGGGAATTTCCTTTATTGGAAATGTAGAAATTTGTTGGCATGCAGCAGTCCTAAACGTCAACAGCATAGTGTCCAAAAGGTCATGCATTGGTTTTGTATTTCCATGAGTTGTGGCTTCTTCTTCAAACAGACAGTATTAACTAGGAGATCTTAAGAGACTTTATTGAGGTCTTATCTTTCTTCACACAAACCATCTTGTACCATTTTCTTGCTTTTTTAACAAAACAAAGTTAACCATATAGAGGCCTGATATTGTCTTATTGAAGTCAATGATCCAGATCATCAGATGATGTAAATCAGCATAATTTTGCTGAAGTCAGTTAAGCTATGTTGACTAACATGTGAAAATGAACAGGTCCAATGGGAGCTTTTCATGAAGTCACAATGCTGGGACTATCTGCACTCAGGCTGAAAACCTCAGAGCTGCTACCCTCTACTTCATTTGCAACGACAATTAGTTCAATCTTCAGTGGAATCCCACTACCAAATTTCCACCAACACTAATTAGTCATGGAACCTCCTCATTCCTGAAAGGGGTTTCCATGCTATGCCATGTCCATCTGAGGTCATAAAACTCCCTGACAAACTAGGGTCCAGATGCTCTGTTCTTATCCCATCTCCTGTGGAGATGGGAACCATTTTCCCATCCCCTTTCACCTCATAAAACCCACACTTTCCCTCCATGTTATGGGAAGTCTTTCAGCATGGAGGGATTCCATTGGGCAGTCCTGGGAGGAGCAACACCAAAGAGGACTGGAGTAGCTATAGGCAATATTCCCTCTAATCGTTTCCATCCACATGAGGATTTTTTCCATTCATGTGTGGAATATTTTTATGTGCACCAAGATATGTGGGAATGTGCACCACCAGTAAAAACACAAACCTAGCTGTGTGTGCTCTGCTAATCAGCTGGGTGGCATTTGAATTTCTCCGGAACGGCCACTCAAGTGCCCAGCTTACAAGGAAAACTGGCTATAGGGTGTGGGCGGCAGGAGGTAGCATCATCCTAATTGCATTAAAACCTGAAACATTGCAAATCCTACTCAATGACATTGGTAAGAATGTGAAGGAGATTGGCCTGACCATCCATACTGGACAAATGAAGTGGATGAAAACACATGTGTCGAAGCAAACGCCTCACTCAGTTTACGCGGCTAAACAGACAGTTTTATTGGCCAATAAAAGCAAAGTGAGCTAAACGTGGTCTCAGCAAAGCCGGGTCCAGTAAGGCTACCTAATACAATCAATCCTAGTATCTTTATACCCTTAACCAAACAGTCTGACGTCTGGGCATCTAATTACAGAAATAATCAATTAGACTAGGAAAAACAAAGCCTTATCAACATGATGGCGGACAGGTACGAGGGAGTACCTCTCCTCTCTGAACCAGCCTAATTAACACATTCCAATAGCACATCTGTCTTGGCCTGGCGCATGGGGTGATAGAAAGTTCACTCTGGCCTACGTGCAAAGACAAAAAGCTGAAATGGTTTCTGTTATACAAGATGGCTTCTAGCTAAACATAAACTAGCTTCATCACATGTTATTCAGAGTATATCATGCAGCTGGATGGACAGTCCATCAAGATGGTGGATCAATATGTATATCTTGGACAAGCATTGCAGATGGAAAAAGAGTGGGGCCCAGAGGTGTGCAGGAGGAGGAAGTCGGGTTGGATTGCCTTTGGGAGTCTGCGCAGTGTTTTTGTTGATTCCAAACTTTCCAGCACTGC